TATGTTTCACTGTAAACACCTGGTCCACACACCCCCTACCTTTCCTAAAGCCCCCTTGTTCATCTGCTATCCTATTCTCCGTCTTACTCTTAATTCTTTCAATTATAACTCTACCATACACTTTACCAGGTACACTCAACAGACTTATCCCCCTATAATTTTTGCACTCTCTTTTATCCCCTTTGCCTTTATACAAAGGAACTATGCACGCTCTCTGCCAATCCCTAGGTACCTTACCCTCTTCCATACATTTATTAAATAATTGCACCAACCACTCCAAAACTATATCCCCACCTGCTTTTAACATTTCTATCTTTATCCCATCAATCCCGGCTGCCTTACCCCCTTTCATTTTACCTACTGCCTCACGAACTTCCCCCACACTCACAACTGGCTCTTCCTCCACTCCTACAAGATGTTATTCCTCCTTTCCCTATACACGAAATCACAGCTTCCCTATCTTCATCAACATTTAACAATTCCTCAAAATATTCCCTCCATCTTCCCAATACCTCTAACTCTCCATTTAATAACTCTCCTCTCCTATTTTTAACTGACAAATCCATTTGTTCTCTAGGCTTTCTTAACTTTTAATCTCACTCCAAAACTTTTTCTTATTTTCAACAAAATTTGTTGATAACATCTCACCCACTCTCTCCATTTGCTCTCTTTTTACATTGCTTCACCACTCTCTTAACCTCTCTCTTTTTCTCCATATACTCTTCCCTCCTTGCATCACTTCTACTTTGTAAAAACTTCTCATATGCTAACTTTTTCTCCCTTACTACTCTCTTTACATCATCATTCCACCAATCGCTCCTCTTCCCTCCTGCACCCACTTTCCCGTAACCACAAACTTCTGCTGAACACTCTAACACTACATTTTTAAACCTACCCCATACCTCTTCGACCCCATTGCCTATGCTCTCATTAGCCCATCTATCCTCCAATAGCTGTTTATATCTTACCCCTAACTGCCTCCTATTTTAGTTTATAAACCTTCACCTCTCTCTTCCCTGATGCTTCTATTCTCCTTGTATCCCATCTACCTTTTACTCTCAGTGTAGCTACAACTAGAAAGTGATCTGATATATCTGTGGCCCCTCTATAAACATGTACATCCTGAAGTCTACTCAACAGTCTTTTATCTACCAATACATAATCCAACAAACTACTGTCATTTCGCCCTACATCATATCGTGTATACTTATTTATCCTCTTTTTCTTAAAAATACGTATTACCTATAACTAAACCCCTTTCTATACAAAGTTCAATCAAAGGGCTCCCATATCATTTACACCTGGCACCCCAAACTTACCTACCACACCCTCTCTAAAAGTTTCTCCTACTTTAGCATTCAGGTCCCCTACCACAATTACTCTCTCACTTGGTTCAAAGGCTCCTATACATTCACTTAACATCTCCCAAAATCTCTCTCTCTCCTCTGCATTCCTCTCTTCTCCAGGTGCATACACGCTTATTATGACCCACTTCTCGCATCCAACCTTTACTTTAATCCACATAATTCTTGAATTTACACATTCATATTCTCTTTTCTCCTTCCATAACTGATCATTTAACATTACTGCTACACCTTCCTTTGCTCTAACTCTCTCAGATACTCCAGATTTAATCCCATTTATTCCCCCCCACTGAAACTCTCCTACCCCCTTCAGCTTTGTTTCGCTTAGAGCCAGGACATCCAACTTTTTTTCATTCATAACATCAGCAATCATCTGTTTCTTGTCATCCGCACTACATCCACGCACATTTAAGCATCCCAGTTTTATAAAGTTTTTCTTCTTCTCTTTTTTAGTAAATGTATACAGGAGAAGGGGTTACTAGCCCATTGCTCCCGGCATTTTAGTCGCCTCATACGACACGCATGGCTTACGGAGGAAAGATTCTTTTCCACTTCCCCATGGACAATAGAAGAAATAAAAAGAACAAGAGCTATTTAGAAAAAGGAGAAAAACCTAGATGTATGTATATATATATGCATGTGCGTGTCTGTGAAGTGTGACCAAAGTGTAAGTAGGAGAAGCAAGATGTCCCTGTTATCTAGCGTGTTTATGAGACAGAAAAAGAAACCAGCAATCCTACCATCATGCAAAACAATTACAGGTTTTTGTTTCACAGTCATTTGGCAGGACGGTAGTACTTCCCTGGGCGGTTGCTGTCTACCAACCTACTACACTAAATATCGTATATTAAGTATGAGATGGGGAGCCAGGGCTACCTACACCTGACTTCCTACAAATAAGTACTGCTCACCTCTCGCCCTACATTAAGATTACAAATACTTTAGGATAAGTAATGAGTGTACTGTGTATGTATTTTACTTTTTGTGTTTTTTAATGCCTAGTTCTATTACTAACTTAATATAATTTAGTGTAAACTTGTTGTCTGGCATTTATATGGATTTATAAATGGAAAAAATGGCGTTCTGCTTTCCGGCAATGTCTGCTTTCTGGTGATAGCCAGAAAGTGCGGCCCTACTGTATGGTACATTACCGTATAAACATTTAAAAATACAGTAGACCCTTATATTACAGGGATTTGGCACATTTTGGTTATTACACTACTGAAAATTTGTGGCATAATTTTATACAAAACTTCATAAAATTAATTTAACATGGTTCGGTTTGTGGGAGGGAAAAAAATTTGGATTAACTCCAACCTGGCGGTACCAAGCTTCTGGAATAAATTTAACAGTGCAGATGCCATCAGCTATGCTAGAAGTGTATAGAATGAAGTGGCCCAATCAACATTAAATGCAGGCTGGGGAAAGTTATGGCCTTCTGTAATTAATTCTCTCACTGGTTTTCCCTTGCTCGAGAGTCAGGTTCAGGAAATTGTTCTACTGGTAAGCAGATTACCAGGTGATGGCTCTGAAGATATGAAGGAACATGTGAATGAGCTCTTAGAAGATGATGATGATGAAGACAGGAGTCCAGAGGAAATGTTGACAGAGCTCAATGTACAGATACAAGGGAGCCAGATAATAGAAGATGAAGAAGAACCTCAAGAAAAGCAGTTAACATTGTAGCAGTTGCATGAGCAGTTCTATGTTGCTGCTAAACTAGCAGACTTTTTCACTGAAGAGGACCCTGAAAATTCTAGCAGTGCTTTGAAATGGGATCTAGAGCAGCTGATGATGCCTTACCATCAGCTGTATAATGTACTGCAGGGTAAAAGAAGCCAGAGATCCATTACAGAATTTACGCACACTTCAATACAACTATTGAATTTAGTACCAGAACCTCAACCATCCGCTTCTGCTGACAACCAACAACCATCCACTTCAGCCCAGTGGGGCCACACCATGAATCCCCACTCTCTTCACAATCCCTGACATACACCAGCAACCATAATTTAAGGTAAATAATTATTTCTGTTGTTTTTGTAGTCTTAAGCAACAAAAACAACATTATCAAATTTATTTTTGTAAGAACTGGATGTCTAAAAAAAGTTGTTTGGATTTTTGGGTGGTTTCAGGAATGTAACCCTATTTTTCCCATAAGTTCTTCAGTCTATATAACATGGCATTTTCAGGAACATAACTACAGTGTAATATAAGCATCTACTGTATACTAAAAATGTTATAAATGGTGTTAAGGTGACAGTAACCCCTTAATTGTCCAAACGCAGATCTACGTTGTTACCGCTAGAGCTCCAAGCCTAGATCAACATGGAAGCAAAAAATCAACCAAGCGACTGTTCGTATTTGGAAAAAATTGCACGTGGAGGTTCCACTGTAGCTTGAAATTGAGCTTAAAGTAACGGAAATGTTCGATTTTTTGCTGATGTTCAGGAGTAAACAAATCATATGTCCAATATACATCAGCTGGTGGGTTTAATGTGCGTTCACAAATGCGCTGATATTATTTATACAATTATTATAACATTGCATAGTGGTAAATCTTCTATTTTTTGGTGTGAATAAAAATTCTTTATGTGAATAAAAAATCAAAATGGAATTTATCTGTAAAGCCTGGAAACATAACTAATAAACAGAGGAAATGTTATTTTAGTGCCAGAAATGCCTGCATTGTTTATTCTGGACCCAATTTTGAAACTGGAATATTTTGAACTTTGTGTGAAACTGGCCAAATTACCAATTTCCTATCACTTTATTGGGTAGTTAAAATAGTTGACTGGGCAATTTCTTGTGCTAAATAGATAAAATGGAACACATACTAGTGAAATAACTAATAATTTGGTCTAATGGAACAATGTAATTGGCCAAAAATAGGACTCAAAGTGAGCAAAATTATCGATGCATAAATATTAATGACACAGCAAAATTCGCGAGAGAATAATTTCGTCAGTGTTTTCTAAAATTTTATAATTTTTGTTTTAATACATTCAGAATAAGATTTTCTACCATTTTATAAGAAAAAATATATATTTTTTTTAAATTCTTGGACCTTGTGGGGAATTTTTAGACTGTGGGTCCAGACCCTCAAATTAAATGCTTCAGTCTCTGGAAACTTAAAAAATACAGGACAGTACATATACAGCCAGACTTGAGTCCTGGAAATGGGAAGTACAATGCCTGCACTCTAAAGGAGGGGTTTTGGGATATTAGCAGTTTGGAGGGATATGTTGTGTATCTTTATACATATATGCTTCTAAACTGTTGTGTTCTGAGCACCTCTGCAAAAACAGTGATTATGTGTGAGTGAGGTGAAAGTGTTGAATGATGATGAAAGTATTTTCTTTTTGGGGATTTTCTTTCTTTTTGGGTCACCCTGCCTCGGTGGGAGACGGCCGACTTGTGAGAAAAAAAAAAAAACAGGTATATGAAAAATAAAACAAAATTAAACACAAGACAGATATAAGAGCACTTAAAAAATACAGGACAGTACATACGAATATGATAAATAAAACAAAATTAAAAACAAGACAGACATTACAGTACTTAAAAAATATAGGACAGTACGTACATATATGATAAATAAAACAAAATTAAACACAAGACAGACATTACAGTACTTAAAAAATACAGGACAGTATATACGAATGATAAATAAAACAAAATTAAAAACAAGACAGACATTACAGTACTTAAAAAATATAGGACAGTACGTACATATATGATAAATAAAACAAAATTAAACACAAGACAGACATTACAGTACATACTTAAAAAATAAACACACCAAATATGCCATTTTCCACTTCTGTTCTATTTTAAAGAGGGGGAAGTCCTAAACATGTAGGGAACATATAGTGCCTTGGGAACAAGAGGCAATCAGGTTCAATCCAAGGAGAGGATAAGTTCAGTTTCTTGGATCAAGAGCCCTCCCTTGAGGTGCCAATTTCCAAGTAAAGAATTATGACATGCAATGTTGGTAGTCTAATAAACCCTAATCATTGACTCATTTTTATTTATATACATCTCCAAGTGAGTTTCTCCATTTCCAAAGTTATGAAACATGTAAAAAATACTCACAATCAATGTAATGGACGTAGAAAAGTTTCTTGGTATCTGAGTCCTTGATGCTGATAATCTCTGCCAATGCTGTGAAAAAAAAAATGATTAAAATAGTAAACAACAGCTATGAATAGAAATATAGCAATGTTGTGCTATGTGGTCAAGCTCAAAAAAGTTATTTTCAGTTTATATTGCATGAAACTAAAACTATAAATTATATACTGTATTACAAATTCAATTTCAAATTTTTATTAACCTTAAATAATGCTTATTAAAAGTTATTAAAGGATATGCATTTACATATTTTACAATATAAGTGACAAAAATAATCTTTATTACAATGACTTATCTGATGTATTAAAAATTCATACAGTACAAAACTAATGCTGTAAAAAAAAATCTGAAATTGCAAGTCTCCATTCTAAAGGTTCGACATTAAAAAAAGAGCAACTGCCAGGAGGAAATAATATACCATAATAAACAAAGGTTAAAATAAACAAAAACATAAGGGTGGTAATCCTACTTGAACATCCTGACTTACGCCAGTCTTCCCCGTTGTTCATCAGGACTGGCAGTCGGCATCCTTCTGTTACATTGGACTGAGAAAAAAAAACAATATATAAGAGTATGGATATAACCAAAAAAAACAGACTTTTACTTCATATATCATTAAAAGCAACATTCAACAAAATGTTTAGTCATATGTAATATTTTTTTAACACCGGCCCTCTCCCACTGAGGCAGGGTGACCCAAAAAAGAAGAAACACAGTTTTTCTTCATTTTACATTGAGTAATTTATACAGAAAATGGGGTTATTAGCCCCTTGTTTCTGGCATTTTAGTTACCTCTTACATCACACATGGCTTATGGAGGAGAGATTCTTCTCCATTTCCCCTCAGAATGTTTTAAATACATCCTCTCCTCACTTAACAATGGAGTTCCATTCCTAAAATCACGTCAGTAAACAAATTCGTTGCTAGGCAAGGGTTTATGTCAACCATCTTTGATATTGTTTTAATGTCACCTTTGCATCATTTATAACACTTTTAGTATAATTTTTAAATGTTTATACAGTACAGCCTCTCCTCACTTAGTGATGTACTCATTTACCGCCTACTTGGACCTATGATGGGCTCTCTGACCAGTATGCATACCTAAATAATGTATATTAGAGTTGATTTCCTGTATTCTGTTTATTACAATATACAGTACACTACTGTATAAACATTTAAAAATATACCAGAAATGTTATAAATGGTGCAAAGGCGATATTAAAACATTATCACCGATGGCTGACACAAACCCACTACCATTATAGTATGCTCCTCACTTAGCGACGAATTTGTTTACCGATGAGGTCTTAGGAACAGAACTCCGTCGTTAAGTGAGGAGAGGCTGCAGTGTACTGTATATTGTAATAAACATAATAGAGGAAATCAGCTCTACTATATATTATTTAGGTATGCATGCTTGTCAGAGAGCCCATCGTAAGTCCGAGTAGTTGGTAAACGAGTACGTATGTCGCTAAATGAGGAGAAACTGTATATAATACTGAAATATGTATGTGTTCCTTACATAAACTGGCATTTCCTAGGATTACTCTTCCTTCTGATGCACTCCTAGGCACTGGTAAGAATAACTTATAGAGGATAGAAAAGTCAATACCCTCCCACACCTATGTAATGGCTCCTAAGATTTTGGGGTTAGAGAGCATGTCCAAGCCATGAAGCTCATATTTAACAACATATCAAACATTCTCAAATTATTACTAAAGCCATATTCACGAAGAAAGTAAATATTAACCTAATTGTCCGATATAGTAGCTTATCAAATTATGGGAAAGCACTAAGTCCTTAGAGGGTCATACAGCACCTGGGGAATAGGAAGCAATCAGGTTCAATTCAAGGAAGGCAAGGAAAAGTCCAATTCCTTGGATGAAGAGCCCTTCACTGGTTTGGACAATAAAGTCAAACACTGTAGTGTATTTACACCATACCTGAAGGATCCTAATAAAAATAAGTCACTGATTTCTTTGGGGTTATCCTAGATACTTTACACACATTTTGGCAGTATACAAAACAATTTTAATAATCTAAGAATTGTGTAAGAATTTTCATAAATTCCTGGCTATTAGTGTACCAACTGGAATTATATTAATAATAATAGTAATCTTTATTTCTACAAGTACATGATACAACTATTATCAATGGCATACTACACAAGAAAGATTCTGGTTATGTAGAGCATTTCAGGCAAATTAGGTTAATCTTGTCCCCCAGGATAAGATGTGACCTACAACAGTCACCCAACATCCAGGTATACCTACTCACTACTAGGTGAACAGGGGCAAACAGGGGCAACGAAACATGCCCAATGTTTCACCCATGCCATGGATCAATCCTGGACCTTCAGTGAGATGTGAGGAGGCTTGTTTAAGCCAGCAGAAGGCTTCAGTCAGATGACCGAAAGCTCCAGATGCAGGTCATCGTAAGACTAAGACACACACACCAGGAAAAATTTGTTTGGTTTCCTGACAAACCTTACCTAACCTAACCTTTGCTTATGTACATCTACAGTCTTTGAATGATTACAATAGTTTTGCATAATCATGTGTAAATTACCTAGAAAACCTCAACCAAAAAGGTCATTTATTTCCACTGGGGTTTTGGAAAGTTCATAAACTTGTCTTCCACAAACTTACGATAGAATCCAGGATGGCTGAATTGGAATCCTCAGCCATTGTGTTCATCAAGTTTGTCCTGGTGTTGATTTTCAGTATACCAGCAGTCTGATGAGAAGTTTCTTCTTCACTGCAGCTGCTTGAAGCTCAGAAGTTTCTTCTTCACTGCAGCTGCTTGAAGCTCAGAAGTTTCTTAGTCACTGCAGCTGCTTGAAGCTCAGAAGTTTCTTAGTCACTGCAGCTGCTTGAAGCTCAGAAGTTTCTTAGTCACTGCAGCTGCTTGAAGCTCAGAAGTTTCTTAGTCACTGCAGCTGCTTGAAGCTCAGAAGTTTCTTAGTCACTGCAGCTGCTTGAAGCTCAGAAGTTTCTTAGTCACTGCAGCTGCTTGAAGCTCAGAAGTTTCTTAGTCACTGCAGCTGCTTGAAGCTCAGAAGTTTCTTAGTCACTGCAGCTGCTTGAAGCTCAGAAGTTTCTTCGTTGCTGCAGCTGCTTGAAGCTCAGAAGTTTCTTAGTCACTGCAGCTGCTTGAAGCTCAGAAGTTTCTTAGTCACTGCAGCTGCTTGAAGCTCAGAAGTTTCTTAGTCACTGCAGCTGCTTGAAGCTCAAAGTTTCTTAGTCACTGCAGCTGCTTGAAGCTCAGAAGTTTCTTCGTTGCTGCAGCTGCTTGAAGCTCAGAAGTTTCTTAGTCACTGCAGCTGCTTGAAGCTCAGAAGTTTCTTAGTCACTGCAGCTGCTTGAAGCTCAGAAGTTTCTTAGTCACTGCAGCTGCTTGAAGCTCAGAAGTTTCTTAGTCACTGCAGCTGCTTGAAGCTCAGAAGTTTCTTAATCACTGCAGCTGCTTGAAGCTCAGAAGTTTCTTAGTCACTGCAGCTGCTGAAGCTCAGAAGTTTCTTAGTCACTGCAGCTGCTTGAAGCTCAGAAGTTTCTTAGTCACTGCAGCTGCTTGAAGCTCAGAAGTTTCTTAGTCACTGCAGCTGCTTGAAGCTCAGAAGTTTCTTAATCACTGCAGCTGCTTGAAGCTCAGAAGTTTCTTAGTCACTGCAGCTGCTTGAAGCTCAGAAGTTTCTTTGTCACTGCAGCTGCTTGAAGCTCAGAAGTTTCTTAGTCACTGCAGCTGCTTGAAGCTCAGAAGTTTCTTAGTCACTGCAGCTGCTTGAAGCTCAGAAGTTTCTTCGTTGCTGCAGCTGCTTGAAGCTCAGAAGTTTCTTCGTTGCTGCAGCTGCTTGGTGTTCATGTTGGGTATGTAAGGGCGACTGACAGCTTACTCAGTATTAAGTCCTGCTTCTCGGTGTATGAAGATAACATATTTCCCGAAACTGGCCCTTGAAAACAAAATTAACACGAATTCTTTTGTAAATATAATCTGAAAATTAAAGTTCTCAAGTAGATCAGGTGGATCTTCCCTCGTCGACTATCAGCAGAGCGGGATGTCCACACCCATTACTTGAGTTCAGTAACCGGCTTACCACCAAAACCGTTAAAGAAATATTCGCAGAGCAGAAAAATGAAGGAATTTGATACAATTAAGCCTATGACAGGTGCCCCTCCTGTTATGTGCCCGATAAAATAAAGCCGATGATAAGTGCCCCTCCTGTGACGTGCCCGGTGGGCAAAGTAAGACGAGGACAAGCGTCCCAAGGAGAACGGGGGAAATTTGTCACTGATGCTCAGGAGACAACGTGACGTCTTGTACAGAGGCTGGCACAGGATTCCATTGTTCCACCATAACAACCCTGTAGCCAGTGGGGGGATACCTGCACACTCTTCTTTCTTCACACCACTTAAGGGGATACATGCACATTCGTCTTTCTTCACACAACTTAAGGGGATACCTACACACTCTTCTTTCTCCACACCACTTAAGGGGATACCTGCATACTCTTCTTTCTCCACACCACTTAAGGGAATACCCGCACACTTTTCTTCCTCCACACCACTTAAGTAGATACCTGTACACTCTTCTCCACACCACTTAAGGGGATACCTACACACTCATCTTTCTCCACACCACTTAAGGGGATACCTACACACTCTTCTGACTTCACACCACTTAAGGGGATACCTGCACTCTTTCTATGCGCCACTTAAGGTGAAAATCCGAACAAAATCATACATAACATGCTTGTATTTCCCACAACATCATTAATAATGTATGATGAGCTCTGACCAGTGTATGATGAGCTCTGACCAGGATTGGGCTGTATAGCCCTTGTGGCTTAGCGCTTCTTTTTGATTATAATAATAATAATCTGACCAGGATTTGTAACTTGTCATGAATGTGGCCAGATCTACCTGGAGTTCTTTATCTTTGTAACTAGTTCAGCTATCATAACTTTGTGGTCCAGTCCCTGGACCCATTATGTACCTCTGTATTATTATTATTATAATCAAAAAGAAGCGCTAAGCCAATGTACCTCTGTAATCTTTTGACTACCACCCACAGGATGGACATGGGGTGCATAATAAATATATTAAATTAACTAAACCAGGATCTAATCTCTACTGTTGAAAATACTGTATATATTTTCCGGAAATATGGTAATTTATAGGTAAATAGATGGCCTATACTGTTTTTAATAATATTTGTCATAGAAAACGGAAAGCCTGCGTCTGGGCAGGAGAGTCGCCATTTTGGTTTTTGAATTGGATACAACGTTAGTGTAATGGGAAGAATTTTTCGTGCTCTAGAGGTTACAATTGTGTTGACACCTCTCAAAAAGGAGGCGAAATTGGTGGATGTGCATTCCTGCATAACTTGAGATATCAGACGACTGGACAAGATAGCTCCAGGAACCTCAGATAAGCTCTCTAGATTTGTGTGTAATTCTGGCCAGCATTATTTTCATAGATTTAGTTAGAGTGAGGTTTTCTGAGTATGATACACATTAATCTCCAGTCAGATTGGTGAGTGATATTAAGATATATTTTCCTTCTGTTATGTAATTGTGTATATATATAACCATTTATTATTTTTAATATACAGTCCACAAATTAATATATTTACCAGTATTCCTGGTGTATGTATATTTCATTTAATTAATAGGTCCAGAGCAACGTGTGGTTATGACAGTGGTAGGTATCGAAGGGGGACATTTTCTGCGACCTAGGTGTCCCAAATTCCTACTTGTCTATGTAACATTGATAAATAATAATTATCTTTGTTATCATTTACTGTTATGTACATAATTAGTTACATTCAGATAAATGTAATTTTCCACATTTAATTTGCCCGTTGGTCCTTCTTGAACCGGAGGTAATTAGTGAAGTCATTTATTAGTTAATTAAAAATTATATGTGAAATGACAGAAGGAGGTGGATGTTAAGTTCACAAATTTACTTAATGTGTAGTGGATTATAATAATTACAATATTAATTTTGATAAGCTAAGCTCGTCTGGCTAAGTTTATATTAATTTGCATAATACTAATTTGATAAGACAATTCTGGCCAAGATTTATATCAGTGTATGTGTAATTGATAAGACAAGTGTGGATAAAGATTATATTGTGTATAATATTAATTTTGCTATGCCAAATTCTGGCAAGGATTTATATTTGTATAATATTAATTTGATAAGCCAATTTTGGCCAAGATTTATATCAATGTATGTGTAATTGATAAGCCATGTGTAGCTAATTATTAATGTGTATATTAATTTTGCTATGCCAAATTCTGGCAAGGATTTATTAATTTGTATAATATTAATTTTGATGAGCCAAGTTTGTATTAATGTACATTTAAAATTTATATTGTACATGGGAGCTTCTTTGTTGGTGCTAGGGAGGATAGGAATAAGACAGGTAAACATGCACCAACAGGGAATACAGTCACAGAAACCCAAGGCAAACATGCACCAACAGGGAATAGTCACAGAAACCCAAGGCAAACGGAAACCAAGCCTGTGCACATACTATGCACTTGGTATCTGCAGGCATGGGAAATCTGGAAAAACAGATAGGACGTGCAACTATGACCACCCTAGAAAATGCCGTGCCCATATGACAACAGGAAAATGCAAACTCCCTTCCTGTAAGCTTTTTCACCCTGAAATGTGTCCCTCTTCAGTACAGGAAAGACTGTGCTATAACTTAAATTGCCAGGCACACCATCTAAAGGGGACAAAAAGATACAAAACATCCAGGCCATGGGAAAACCTGGGTAGCCACAGCCACTCAAGAGAGGTTTTTTAGTGCCAGGAAGAAAAAAAAAACTGGCAGGAAATGGCAGAAATCGTACACCAAATCCAGTCATTCCTGGAGTGGAACCACAGTCGATGGCCTCCACTCCAAACCAACAGATACAGATACTAATGCCGGAAACCCCCCCCCCCCCAGTACCAACAATACCACCAGTCCGATGACATTCTTCCTTGCAAATATACAGGGTCTAAAGCCAGCAACAAACAACAAAATACCTTTCATCCGTGGACTGCTTGCAGAGTTAGTTAGTTTAATATGTTTATTATGCACCCCATACCCATCCTGTGGGCGGTAGTCAAAAGATTACAGAGGTACATAATTGGTCCAGGGACTGGACTCCAAAGTTTTGATAGCTGAGCAAGTTACAGAGGCAATGAACTCACAATTTACAAAGGTAATGAACTCACAATTTACAAAGGTAATGAACTCACAATTTACAAAGGTAATGAACTCCAGGTAAGTCTGGTCACAATCATGACAAGTTACAAAGGTATTTACAGATTACAGAGGTACGTAATGGGTCCAGGGACTGGGCCCCCAAAGTTTTGATAGCTGAACTAGGTACAAAGGTAATGAGCTCACAAGTTACAAAGGTAATGAATTCTGTAGAATGGTTACTTACGTTTATACTTTGGCTACAATCATGAACAGGCAAAGGCAATGTTCGCGGCTTTCACTGAGACCCACATAAAGGATCACTTGGACAACGAAATATGGATCCCAGGTTACAACCTATACAGATGCGACAGAGTGAACAGGCAAAAGGGGGGGGGGGGGGTTGGCCTGTACATTGCAGAGTCACTTGTGCGCACAGAACTGCTGAATGCCTCAAATGATGTAGTGGAAGTTTTAGCAGTAAAGATCGAGAACCAAAACCTAGTCATTGTGGTAGTCTACAAGCCTCCGGATGCAACATCCCAGCAATTCCAGGAACAGCTGTTAAAAATTGACCACTGTCTGGAAAATCTGCCAGCTCCTGCACCCAACATCTTGCTCCTGGGGGATTTCAACTTAAGGCACCTAAAATGGAGGAATATAGCAAATAATATTGTTGTAGTAATAACACCAGGAGGCAGCTCTGATGAAAACTCACACTCACACGAGCTTTTAAATCTCTGCACAAAATTCAATTTAAACCAGCAAATAATAGGGGCCTTTTTGCGGAGAAACCCTAGCCCTCATCTTCACTAAAAAAGATGTCTGATACGAAATGTCACCTTTCAAAAAAATATACTCAAACACAACTTTAATTGGGTTTCAGACATATATGCGCGGACCCAAGACCGACAAAATTGAGATTAGTCAGAGGGAGCATTCCCAAAATTTTCACTTCAAAAACCAAAAA